CCCCCCACCCGCAGCAGCTCCCTTTTGATCTGCTAAAGTTTTAATTATATTTTAAAATTTGACAAATATTTAAATATTCCTTTTAATTAATTTTAAATTTGTATTGTTTTGTATGTATTTTAAATAGATTGTCAGCCGCCCTGAGTCCTACGGGAGAAGGGCGGGATATAAATCCAAAAAATAAATAAAATAAATAATAAATAAATACAGCGGGGGTGGGTGGCGAGTGGTGGGTGGGAGAGGATGCCACGCACACACCCCCCCCTTTGGGCCAGCAGCTCTACCGAGAAAGGAGCAGCTCTAGCCCACCAGTGGATCTGCCTTCCCACCCACCCACCCCCTATGGACGGAGCAAAGAGGAGGGGGATTTCGCGGGAGAAGGGGGGGCTGGCTTGCCCCTTCTTCCCCATCCCCGCCGGAGGGCTCGGGCGGACTTACCGTTACACCACTGGAAGGGGTGCATCAGAGGCCCCGGAGCAGCTGCTGGCGGAACGAAAGGCGAAACGGTACCCCCGTACTGCGCGGGGTCCTCCCCCCCCCCCGCGATGACAACCTCGCTTTTTACCAGCCTCGACCGCGTCCTCCGCCCAGCCTGGGAGCGGGGCGCCACATTCCCAATCGCGGGGGATCCTCCCTCGCCCGTCGCAGTCTATCCGAGGGAGAGAGAGTCTTATCTTGCGGCTCGGGCGCGGGCTGTTTCGAACGGTTCGGAGCGGAGCGAGCGGAGCCGAGCCGCAGCTCCTTTTCTCGGGGCTGAGTACAACACACACACACACGCGCCCGCGCACGCACACACACACACAGGGCTTCGGGGACCGACCCTCCGCCTGGTCAACGCCCCCTCTCCTCCCCCTTTTCAGTCCGCCAGCCAATCCGGGGCCTCCCGAGGAGAGGAGCCGATTAGCATCTTGGCTTTTGAAGTGGGCAAGGAGTGGCTCGGGATTGGCTGGCTCGGAACGGGGCTCCAGCCTATAGCGTTGCGGACCCAAAGAGAGAAAGAAAGAAAGAAAGAAAGAGAGGAAGGAAGAAAGAAAGAAAGAGAGGGAGGGAGAGAGGGAGGGAGGAAGGAAGGAAGGAAGGAAAAAGAAAGAGAGGAAGGAAGGAAGAAAGAAAAGAAGGAAGGAAGGAAGAGAAAGAAAGAAAGAAAGAAAGAAAGAAAGAAAGAAAGAAAGAAAGAAAGAAAGATCATCGCTGCTCCCTTAGGATCGCTCTAGGCGCAGGTAGCCTGGACGGAAGGCCGAGCTTGGCCGATGGAGGGGCTGAAGCCCGATTTTATTAATATTTTAAAAGGATCACCCTTCCCGAAGGAAGGAAGAAAGAAAAGAAGGAAGGAAAGAAAGAAAGAAAGAAAGAAAGAAAAAGAAAGAAAGAAAGAAAGAAAGAAAGAAAGAAAGAAAAAAAGAAAGAAAGAAAGAAAGAAAGATCGTCGATGCTCCCTTAGGATCGCTTTTGGCGCAGGTAGCCTGGACGGAAGGCAGAGCTTGGCCAATGGAGGGGCTGAAGCCCGATTTTATTAATATCTTAAAAGGATCACCCTTCCCGCTCTCCATCCCAAAGGACGTGGCGAATCTTCCTTCCTTTATTACATTTCTTTTCCTCCTTTATTTTGTACAGGGCAAAGTGAGTTGCATCCTGCACCCTCTGCCACACAATAACAATACCCAGAGGTGACCTGGTCAAATTCTTACCTGCATCCCATCAGTTGATTCTGAATACCCTCCCTGTTTCCCACCGCCTTTTCTTTCTGGAGGTGGACACCCTTCCAAACCAAACAAGTCCAGGGCTCCTTGGAGCTGCATTTTTGTTGTTGTTGTTATTATCTAATCATACGTGTTGTATTTCTGGCGAACTCAACTGCATCAAGGTGATGGCATCAAGATAGAAGTTTGCAACCTCTATGGATTAAAAGTGAAGAGGTAGGAAAGAAGCGGGCAGATCTCAAGGGAGCTGGAAGAAATCCGATTGCTGATGTCTGCTGCTGGATGCCAGGTAGACATTCCTCAGCCCTAATAAAGAAGTGACATGGTCTTAAGTCACACAGGACTAACCTAATCCGCTCCCCAAATCAGTGGACTGCAGGGGAGAAAGGAATAAATGCCTGAAATGTCCTGAAATGGAAGATTCTTCACTGCGACAGATGATGGCAGACGCCACATGTGAACAGCAAACTGTTCACTGAGATCAACCCCTCCATATAAGACCTTGTTCTTTACCTACTGGGCTGCATCTGTAATCCACCATCAAACAAATCTGACCTGGGTGGGTCGTACCTTGCTAATCTTAGCTTTGGCAAACAATGGTGTCCCATCTAATGAGCTGCAGAATAAACAGCGAGAAAGGTCACCGCCACGAAGCCATGCAGTTCGTCAAATCCTTTTCCCCCTTATGCTGGTTTATTTTATTCTATCGAGCAACAAAGATGATTAGGGGACTGGCGGCTAAAATGTACAAAGAACGGTTGTTGGAATTGGGCATGTCTAGTTTAATGAAGAGAAGGACGAGGGGTGACATGATAGCCGTCTTCCAATATCTCAGGGGCTGCCACAAAGAAGAAGGAGTCAAGCTATTCTCCAAAGCACCTGAGGGCAGGACAAGAAGCAACGGGTGGAAACTAACCAAAGAGAGAATAATTAATCAGTGGAACAACCTGCCTCCAGAAGTTGTGAATGTTCCAACACTGGAGGTTTTTAAGAAGAAACTGAACA